TGCTGCATACCAGCCTTAATTCTTCGAGAAGAGAATGAAAAAAAATTTTACTAGATTTTCGAACGTAAGGAGTCGGGTATAGCTCAAGCGATTTCATCGCTTCGCGATTCCCCCGACAAGACAACTGTTACGAGATCATTGCATGCCGACTATCTTGCATTTTGGTTGTGATCGTTATTCACGTTTATTCAAGTCGGAAAACTATCACAACCGAAATGCAAGATGATCGACATGCAATGGACTCGTAACAGTCATCTTGTTAAGCGAATCGCTCGGCGATGAAATGGCGTAATGTATGCCCGGGCCCTTAAGAGACAAGTTAGGCATTTCTATCGAATGGTTTTGGGTTCGGAGGTCGTCCTTGCCGATTAGAAGGTCCTGGTGCATTCGGATCTGTATGCTCTTCATAAGGAGAAGATTCCATCTGAATTGCGTCAGCTGATCGTTGCTCATCTCCATTATTTACCAAAGCAGAACCATCATCCATATGGTCATCGATCCCATGGTACAGAGGGGAATAGAATGGTTTCTGCACGAAACGTAGGGAGGCATTCTCTCCATTCCATCCCCTAGACGTGCTCGGTCCAGCTTGAGAAGAATCATCAGCCCTAGGCGGGCTCTGTGGAGGGCTGATCGCTCCATCTGTGGCAATGGTCCGTTCAGCTGAGCTGGATGGTAACGCAGTAGGTGGGGCAGGATCATCCTGATTGCTGGTGGGCGGAGACGTCCCAGTAGCTTGCTGTGCGGTCGGCTCAACCAGAAAATCCCATATAAGGATAGTATCGTCATGAGAGCTGCTGACAATTTGAAAATCATCAAATTGCAGGCGGAAAACTCGGCCAGTATGTTGCACCAAAGTGCTGAGACATAGCGAATTGGGTGATGAACGTGGGTCGAGTGCAGCTTCCAAGTCCCAAACACGAATTTTTCCATCATAGGCCCCGGAAACGATACGTTTATCATCAAAACGGATACATCGCACAAGTTCTTCATGGCCTTCAAGTACGCGCAGACACACACCAGAATGAATATCCCACAGTCTAATAGTATTGTCGCTGGATCCCGAAACGACAAGACGTCCTCGATACTGTAGAC